AATAGAGGGGTCGTCTCCATCTCCTGTGCCAGGATGTATGCCGCCTTTGCCAGTCTCTGTTCACACTTGTCTCAGACTTTAAATAACTGTGTTGTGACGTGACGTCTGAGGGCACTATTCAGTCCTCCCTATCCGGTCCCCAGTGTGACCTCACAAGGGCTGACCCCAGCACTGCCACTTCCCAACTGCGGGCCCTCGGGCAGCACGCTTGGGCATAAGGCTCCTCAGCTGTGACACGAGGTGGCTGTGAGGCTGGCCGTGACTGGCCCTGGCACCTGGGAGGTGATGTCTCCCTCTCTGCTGACCTCTGATGTGCCAGGCCTGGGTCTGCTGCTACCAGCCCAGAGAGGGTAGTGGCTGAGCCCACGCAAGAGTTGCCCAGGACAGATGTCAGGCCGGGACGTGCGTCCACAGCTAGGCATTCTCGCGCTTCCTGTGTGCGCTCTGTCCCTTTGGTGTCCTCTCTGTGACTCAGGCCCTCAGCCCGTGGTGTGGGGACTGGTGCCCTGGGCTTTGGTCAGACACGCACATTCTCTCTGCTCAACACCAGCGAGGAGGGTGACCCGCCCTGGCACCTGTTAGCCACCCAGCTGGCCCTCACAGCATGTGTGGTCCCGTGGTCAAGCTTAACCTTTGAGATAGGGCTCTGTTGGATGTGCTGAGTCTCCTGGCTCCATCATGAACTTGAACAAAAACGTCCATGCCTCCCGTTTCTTGGTTTCTTTCCTTTCAAAATGGGCATGGGAGGGGGCAAGGAGGAAAATGTGTATCAGCAAATGAATGAAAACCCATCCTGTCTGTAAACTTTCATTAAAATCACGATAATAATAATAAAAAAAATAGAATGGACACAGATCCTTCTGTTCTGCCTTCTGTAGGGACAGAGGCCATAGATGTCAGACTATTTGTCAGCTGGATGCAGGATAGGGAGTGGGCAGGTCCAGGCCCTGACCCAGGTCCTTCGTGGACAGCTACTGTCCCACAGTTCTGAGGGTGGCACTTCAACCTGGACGGGGAAGGGGTGGAGCTGGCAGTGGGACCCTGTGTGTGTGTGAGAGAGAGAGAGAGCTAGAGGTGGGGGGTGTGAGAGGAGGGTGGGGGGTGTGAGGGGGTGTGTGTGTGCCCTTTTGGATGAGGAAGGAGGGTTTTGTTGAGGGCTTTTCTGGAGACTGAGCCCTGTTTTCCTGGCTGTGTCCCATTCTCAGTCAGCCCTGCTCTCTTCTCCCATCTCCTGGGAGTCCCTGGGTTGCCCCTCTGGGTGGGTTAAGTACCAGTCATGGTAGCATTTTTATGTCCAATGACTCAGCTGTGGACCATGACCCTCCTCAGCCTTCTTCCCGGCTGGAAGGAGTGCCGGGGCAGATTATAGAGGATGAGAACTGAGCGGTGGTCCTGGCTGGGGTCCCACTGGATTGGCCTCATATGGGGGTCCCCCCCAAGGGCAAGTCTGCTGGTCTGTGTTAGCTCAGACATGGACACAGGGCTCATCTAACCCTGGTTCAGGGGCCAAGCTGGCCTCTTGCTCTCGGAGGCCATGTCTGCACAGGGCGTCCCTGTCAGAGAGTAAGTGGGCATTGGGCAGAAAAAGCTGAGTTTCTCTGAAGCCAGAGTCAGGAGGCCAGGGGGAGAGACTTCCCCGAGATCACCATGTCAGAATCCCCTGGGAGTCCAGAAGTGCCCTTTTAGGGCCTGCTGTGGACCTCGAACCTGGAGCTGGGGGAGCAGGTGTGGGGAGGTAAGGTCCACACCTGAGCGGGGTGGGCAGCGTTACTCACCACTGGCCCTCCTCAGTCTCGTGCCCCCACTGCCCCACTCTCTCCCTCCCCACTCTCCTGTGGTTCCTCTCCTCACCCCTCTCTGTCCCCTCCCTGAGCAGCCCCCCTCCTGGCAGGATCTGAAATGTTATCACCTACAGGTATTACCGCATTCTAGCTGCCAGGAGGGGCAGCCGCACTCCTGTGTCATGAAGTCCAGCTATCTGTCCCAGTTTGCCCAGGAGTTTTCTGGACTTTTTAGTGCTAAACCCAAAAATGTCCAGGGCAAACCAGGGTGAGTTGGTGACCCTAGCTGTGTGTTGGCTTCAAATGGGGTCACCCTTCCCCCTAAGAGTAAGGAACACTGTTGGCAAGGACAGACAGGCAGACTGCATCACTATGCTGCTTGCTGGTGACCGCTGCAAGCCTCTGTACAGGAGAGACTGTCCCTTGAAAGTTCCTGAGCATGAGAGTGGCACGAGACTCGTGTTGACAAGATGCTCCTGGCCTCTGTTAGCAGAGAGACAGTGTGTGGACCTTGAGGGGACAGGGAGCTATGCAAGGCTGTTGGGGTGAGGGCACGGAGGTGGCAGACATGGGGGCTTTTCAGAGCTGAGCTTTGAGGCTTGGAAGAAAGCAGGCCACTTGAGCCCTGAGTGGACATCGGGGAAACTGGAGGGTTCAGACCCGATGAAAACTAGAAGTCACATCATTTGAGGAGCTGGTGAGGGGCCTTTGGGTAGGGTGCCCGCACATGTTGACAGCTCAGTTCTGGAAGGAGGGTTTTAGGAAAGGAGGCTGGAAGTTGGAGACAGCTTGTGGAACATTTGTAGGAACTTCAGGGCAGCTCTCAGGACCACCTGCTCCCAAGGCCTTGGCCCACCCAGGAACTAGGGGTGAAGAAGTCCTCCTTCACAAGGGCCTCCTGGCCCAGCGTCTCCCCACATTAGTCGCCAGTGCCCATCACCCACCTCCCTCAGCTGATGTCCTCACGTCCTTGAGCCTCTCCAGCGCTGGCCTCACCCTGACTGTCCTCCACCTGGCCATCTCGCTGTTTTCTCTTATCGTCTGTTTTTCCGTATTATTGGCTGATTCTTGCCCTGCCTCCTGATTTTCTGTTTAGAACTGACTCAGCTTTCCCGATGAGAAAATTCAGGACCTCAGTGAATTACTTGCTGTGGGAATGGTGGGGTCTGACTGGGGTCTCCGTGCTGGCTCCCAGCCGCCCTCTCTGCCCCACCCACCCAGTTTCCCAGCCCTGGTGAGGACAGAGGGTATTGAGTGCCCAGATGGCCGGGCGAGGACTCGAGGTGGGGCCCGGCAGCCTGGCCACCCTGCCTGGTCCCTGCTTCCGCCCTAAGTGGATTAGGGGCTGTGCTCACAGAGCCTCCACTGTCTGAGCGGTCAGCAGGCCAGGGCAGTCTGGTGCCTTCCTGCTCCGTCCTGATTCGATTTGGGCCTCAGCAGCTGGGGGGGGCCGCAGCCTGAGGCCTTTCCGGGAATGGCTCAAGGGACTGGCCTCTGGGTGGTCGCAAAGAGGGTCAGGAAGAGGGGCATTGCAAGGCCTTCAAACTCCCTTCCCCACCTTCCCCGGCAGGTGGACCTGGATGTGACTGCATCGACCACCTCTCAGTCTGGCAACAAGGACAGATCCTGGGATGGGCCTTGTGTCCCTAGATTGTCACCAGCTGTGGCCACAGGTTCTTCCTGGGCCCGGAGATAACCCCCAGCATCCCATAATACCACAGAGTTCTAACTCATGCAGTTGGAACCTGTAGAAGAAACCCACGTTGTGAATTTTCATTAATGAATCAGAAACACATTTTGGCCAAATGCTGACTGTTAAAAATCAGTTTATGCCCAGTCACATAGCTGAGTTTGGCCAGAGACCAAACTCGTGGTCTCCCTGCTTCCTCTGTGTGTCCACTCCTGCGGCAGATCTCGAGCCTGGTCCTGGGGAGTTCAGTGTGGACCCCAGGCCCCAACCTGTACTCATGCTGGCTCCTGGGGAACAGCGGTGACACATAGATAAGGTCCTTTCCCTCGAAGAGCTGGCCAGGTTCTTAACCCCTGGGCAGAGGCCCATGTCCACCCTGACCCCAGTCCAGCCATAAACCTTGTGTGTGGACTCCTGGGCCATCGATGTGCTGGCAGCAGTGGGCCATGGACGCCGCTGCCCAGCTCTCTCCCAGGGGCCCTGTGCTGAGCCCAGGAATGTCTGGGCCTTGCTGCCCTGGCTGTCACCCTCGTCTTCGCTAGGTGAAGGGGCAACCGCCTAGCAGACACTGGAGCAGTCTAGAGCAGGCCTCTCGACCTCATTCTGGGGATCAGGACAGGGAGGGACATGATGTTTTTGTCTGGGGAGTGACCAGGCTGGGCTAGCTGGTGCCAGGAGGACTGGCCCGCACCTGCCAAGGAAGCTGTGATCTGAGGCCCCATCAGGGGAGCCCAGGGGATGGAGAGATTGTCCTCGGCCTCGAGGGACACCAGAACAAAGTCCTGCTGTGGGGAAGCCCTGGTCTGAGGCAAGGAGCCCCTGAGGCCTCGCCCAGGGGAGCATGTGGAGGGCTCAGAGGCCAGCAGAGCGGAGGAAGGCATCTCTCAGCAGAGTGGCAGCTAAAGCGGAATTGGGCATCAGCAGATGGCGAAGGGGCCGGGAAGGGTACTGTGTGCAGAGAGCAAGCCTGTGAGGGCTGAGAGCAGGCATTGCAGGTTTGGGGGGTGGTGACGTTGAGAGTGGGGAGGTGGGAGACCCAGAGAGGAGTGGGACCGGATGGAGATGACCTTGAACAGCCTGAGGAATCAGAACTGTACTGTGGTGAGCAGTGCGGAGGATGTGTGAAGAGGTGAGGGCCTTGAATCCCAGACGAGGGAGAAAGGGGCCACGGAGGGTGTTTAAGCAGAGGTGGGCTGTGGACAAAGCTGTGTCCATGTGAGGTTGGCCATTGGGGTGTGCCAGGCACACTAGACTGGAGTTACAGACTCGGGGGGCTATGCTGTGGGGCTCCCCCTGCTTCCTGTGAGCACCCTGCGAGGAAGCTGTGTGTGAGGTGCTTTGTGTCCACGTTCTTATTCCATCCAGCATATGAGGCCTTTGGGTGCAGGGAGGCCGGCTTTTGGTTGACCGCACTGGGAAATAGAGGTGGTCCAGGGCCAGCGGCTGGTGGCTCGAGGTGGGCAACCACCATGGGTGCCATGTGCCCTGTGCCACTCACCTGCTGCCTCCATCCCTCCCTCTAGGCGACCATGGCCTTGCTGGGGAAGCGCTGTGACGTCCCTGCCAACGGCTGTGGGCCTGACCGCTGGAACCCTGCCTTCACCCGCAAAGACGAGATCATCACCAGCCTCGTGTCTGCCTTAGATTCCATGGTGAGTGCCCCTCCGGCATTTGGAGGAGACTTCTGAGAGCAAGTCCCACCTCGGCTGTGAGTTAGGCCTCCCTCGCCCGAGCCTCAGTTTCCCCATCTGCAAAGCAGGCAGCACAAGCGAGCCAGCAGTGTAATAATCTAACTCAGAGAATAAGCATTGGTCCCTGGTCCTCATCGCCTTGGCCCCCTCCCCTCCCCGTCAGCATCACTTCTTGCCATTCAAGTCCTGTCCCGGGGCTCAGCCACTAAGTGTCCCTCTTTTTTTTTTTAATTTTTTTATTGTATTATTTTTTTTTCTATATTTTATTAATTTTCATAAGCATTTACAGAGATTTTGGGTTTCCATTCATTCATTGTTGCACTATTCTCTCTACCCTCCTCCCAGTTTGTTCTTGTCCAAATGCCACAGTGCTTGTCAAAGCCAGTTCTGATTAATCTTCTTTGTCAGTGTGTCCTTTGCCATTCCCTATCACTCCTCCCTGAGAGAGACTTCACCCTGAGTCATAAGGAAAAGGGGATGGCGTATTCTCTTAGCTACTTCCTGCTGAAAAGGGACGCTGTGGGTTTCAGGGTGAAGATCTTCTCTCACTACTCTAAAGGGCCCCTTTGGCAGTAGGAAACACATAGACTATTATGGAGATTGATTTTGGAATTTAGATGCACTCTTATTGATTGTGCTTGGCCGTACATGTTCATATCCTTGAAGATGTATCATGGGGGTGTTGCAACCTAGAAGACACAAATTTGACTAACAAGTTATATAAGTACATGAGTCCAAAAACTATGGAAAAGTAAAAGAAAAGATTCTTTCATTGTTTTACAAACCCTCCCCCAGGTCCCCTCCACCATGTAGCCCTCGCTCTAGTCTCCTGTGATGACAGAAATACCTAGTTATATATCTCTTTTAAACAGTTTTCTCCCTCCTCTGTTTCAGTGCAGTATACATTATTGAACCCATCTTACTCAGTCTCTCCCCAACCCCAAGGACAGTCCCATTCTACAACAGTGGCATCATATAATATTTGTCCTTTTGTGACTGGGATATTTCACTCAGCATAATGTTCTCCAGAGTCAACCATTTTGAATAATATTGCATGAGTTCCTTGTTTTTTAATGCAGCATAGTATTCCATTGTGCGATTTATTGTGTTATTTTTACGTGTACCGTCAAATCAGATCTGACTGGTACGGAGGAGATTGCCCCCTCCTTCTCCAGCAGAGCATCTGGTGGATTTGAACTGCGTACCTCTGGGATTGCAGTGCAGCGTCTTGCCACTAGGCCACCAGAGCTCCCTTTAAGTGTCCCTCTTGAGAGCTGTTGTCATCCCCTGGCTGGTGCAGAACAGCCTTTGTGAGGAGGACTCTGGGGCTTCAACCCAGGTCCCGAGTGACAGGAGCACGGGCTGTCTGAGTTGTGGAGGCCGAGCAGACAGGTTCTGAGTGGCGTTGGGCAGCACTGGACGGTGGCCTCTCCTGCTGGGATCCCAGGAGGCTGACAGCCCACCTACCACAGTGCCCTGGAGCGGGGGCCTTCCCCGGCTCATACCCTTGCCCTCCTGCAGTGCTCTGCCCTCTCCAAGCTGAATGCGGAGGTGGCCTGTGTCGCCGTGCACGATGAGAGCGCCTTTGTGGTGGGTACTGAGAAGGGGAGAATGTTCCTGAATGCGCGGAAGGAGCTGCAGTCCGACTTCCTCAGATTCTGCCGTGAGTACTCGGTGCCCCGTTCTGGAAGCTTCCATCGCTGAGTCACCAGCCCTGCCATTGGGGTGACCGTGGTGGCCCCAAGCTGTTCAGGCATGGTGCGCGCTCCAGACTGGGCACACTGCAGCAGCGAGTGCTTACTAAGGCCCTGCTGTTTGCACACGTGTTAACCTGCTTGTCCCGGCAGCAGCCCGCTGCGGTGGGCACTGTGGGTGTGATGTTAGCGTGGCAGTGTTCGTGGCTCTCTGAGGCACGTGGGATACGCATCTAAGCCCACGTTGAGGGCACACAGAACAGCACAGTGAGTGTCCGAAGACCAGACCTGTTCACTGGTCTGTGCTGCTGTCGCCAGGAGAGGGCACGGTAAGACGCCGTGCTTGTAGGCACTTCCCAGGACACAGCACAGCTGACTGGTAGAGGGTTGGGTTGGAGGCCAGCACCCTGCTCTGAAAGCTAGGCTTTCTGCCACCTCCTTCAGAAGAGGGGAGCCCGGCCGCCTTCCACTTGACTATCTGGGTACAGGCCCTGAGCTCATGGGGGCCAGCTGGGAACCCTGAGGCAAAGGGGTCATTCTGAAGCTGCCAACCACTCAGTGTTACCTGAGCCTGCCAGTCCCTCATAACCCAGCCCTGTCTCTACATCCCATCCTCCTGGGGGTCCTTGTACCCATCCTGTGCATGCGGTAGACAGTAGCCATCCCTGGGCTGACCTTTCTCACTCTGTCTTCATTGACATCATCCTGGCTGGAAGGCCTTGCTCCTCTTCTCTACCTGCATTCACCTCCCACCTCCAGGATTCCCGGGTCCCCTCCCCCACCTCCAGGATTCCTGGGTCCCATCCCCCACCTTCGGGATTCCCAGGTCCCATCCCCCACCTCCAGGACTCCCAGGTCCCATCCCCCACCTCCAGGATTCCCAGGTCCCAACCCCCACCTCTAGGATTCCTGAATCTTTGGGGCTGAGAGACCTCTACCCTAGGCCTCCACATCCAGTAAGGTTCCTAGGGGCCTCACCCCAGGTCCATCTGTTCCCTACCCCCCAGGCCTCTGGTTACCTCCACATGGTGCCAGTGAGCAATGGAGTGGAGATTTCAGCCCATGTGACTCTGTGCTGAGCACATGGTCAGGGTCGAGGCTCTGGGGATCCCACTGCCTGGTTTTACCTCCTGCCAACCCCTCGGCCTCTATTACCCCATCTATAGAATGGGGAGAATGTGGGGCAGCCTGAGGGTCCATTGGAGCGAGATGAGGAAGGTTGTCACTGTCCTTAGTGTTGGTCAGTAGGGGCCTAGACCCTTTGATCCGTTTCTGGGAAGGCCATCCCCGTCCTGGGCACTCATAATGAGGCCACCCCACCATCCACATGGCCTGAGCTACCTGAGGTTGGGGAGGTCTGGCCACAGCAGGAGGCGGTGGCAGGCCTGGGGCTCCCAGACGGGGCCAGGCTGGAACACCTGGCTTCCTGGTCACACAGCCGCTATTTATAGTGCCTCTAAGTCGGCTGGTCTATTTCAAGCCTCACAGATCCCCGAGGAGAGCAGCTCTGAGCTGGGAGGGGGCCGTGGGGCGCTCTCACCACGTCTCCATCTCAGCTTCTAGCACGTTCTCTGGGGACCCCCGCACACTCCCGGCCCTTGCCTCCTGATGGGCCCCGCTGTCTCCCTGAGTGGCAGAAAGCCAGGGATGAGCATGGGGTGGGCAGAGAGAGGGTCATGCCTTCCCAGCCAAGCCTGCGGCTTCTCATTCACGCTAAAGAGAGAGGGACGTGCTGGGGCCCACAGCGAGTTAGACAGAGGCCCAGGCCTCATGCAGGGCACGCTGAGGTGACCAGCCCTGACCTCGGTGAACGAGGAGGCAAGGATGACCTATTCACAAGTTCCTGTTTTCTCACTCACCTTTGAACCTAGTCAGTGCAGTCATGCTAAGCAGAGATGGGGGGGCGGCAGCACTCATACCCTGCACCTCTGTTCTGCAGGAGGGCCCCTGTGGAAGGAACCGGAGGCCGAGCACCCTAAGAAGGTGCCGCGGGGTGAGGGCTGTGGCCGGAGCATCCCAAGGTCCTCCCTGGAGCACGGCTCGGACGTGTACCTGCTACAGAAGATGGTAGAGGAGGTGTTTGATGTTCTTTATAGTAAGATCCTTCCTCATTCCATTTGGGGTCCTGGGGTGGGGAGGGAACCCCAGGCCCGCCCCGCTGTGGGCCCTGGGCAGAACCTGGCCTAGCCTTCCCTCACCCCAGCATCCAGTCGTGGACATCCCCTCTAGTCCCTTTCCTGAACCTTCTGCTGTCCCCAAGCCTCTGCCCTGGCTCAGGGTCCTGTCACCTCTCACCCGGAAGTGGCCCAAGCACCATGGTCTTCCTGTCTCCAGGCTGTCTCCCTGCTGCCCTCTTCCATGGCCTTGGTGTCTGTGGTCCACTGAGGCCTGGCCCCCGCCTGTGTGTCCCACTCGCTGTTGGGACCTGACCCCCTCACGGAGCCCCCTTCCTCCCTGGCACACCCTGGCTGTGGCTTTACGAGGCTACGCTCAGGGCTGCCCAGTCCATTCTCTGGTGAACACCTGCGTCCTCTGAGGCAGAACCCTTCCCACTGGGAACAAGTACTCTCCAGGCCTAGAGACTCTGGGTCGGCCTCTCTGGGGATCCCCAGGCCATCAGGACATGTTTGTTAAATGACTAAGTGGAAGCCTATTGGTCAGCTGCCAGAATCTTGGACCTTAGTGGTGGCTTCATACCGATGACCTGTTCAGGTCCTTCTGGACCTCTTCTCCCTCTCACTCGCTCTACTGGTTTTATTACTTTTCTTTCTGTGGAGGGAAGATCTGAGGAACTTGGTGTCAGGAGGCTGAGGGCACGTCAGGAGGGGGCCCAGTGGCCCTGAGTGGACTTCCTGCCACCATGGGATGGGAAGGTTTGTTCCCAGAGCCCCTGCACCTAGCCTGACCTCCTGGCCCACCACAGGCACTGTCAGGGGCGACCAGGAGAGGAGAACCTTTCCCAGCTCTGAGTGGAGGGGCTGCAGCACATGGTGACAAGGGATGTCACAGGCCCTTGATCCTGTCCATCCCAGCTGCACTGCCCACCCCCTCAGCCCAGTCTCCCCGTCTCTGCCATCTTCCCTCCACCTCTTACCCCCTCCCTCTCCAGACCAGTTCCAGGTTTTCTTCTGGGTCTTTTGTCTCCTTTCTCTCTGAGTCCATCTTTCTGTCTCTCCCCACTTCCTCTGTCTCCCTCCCTCCATGACGTTTCCCCCACCGTCTCTCATGTTAGCTACTTTTTCTCTTTCACCCCCTCACTAACTCCTCTCCTTTGCCTTTGAGAATCTTCCCAGGCCAGATTCCCACAGGGTGTTGGGGGAGACGGGCTTCCCAGCATCAAAGCCAAAGGCCCTGAGGTGCAGACAGGGTCTTGCCCCTCTCCACCTGTCTGTCCTTCCATCCCCCTGTCCATCCTTCCATCCCTAGCCTGAGGATAATTCTGCTCTGAAGTTTGCTTTTCTGTGGGGTCTGTGGGTCCAGTTTCCTGGGCGCCTGGTACCCAGGGAGTTGTTCCTCATTGCCCCCCACCCTGGGGCACTCCCGCCCCGACACAGCCATGCTGTCCCCTCACACTAGGTCTTCCTTCCCGCTAGGTGAGGCCCTGGGAAAGGCCACCGTGGTGCCACTGCCCTACGAGCGGCTGCTCAAGGAGCCAGGGCTGCTGGCCGTGCAGGGGCTGCCTGAGGGCCTGGCCTTCCGGAGGCCAGCTGAGTACGACCCCAAGGCCCTCATGGCCATCCTGGAGCACAGCCACCGGATCCGCTTCAAGCTCAGGAGGTGAGTCAGGAGCCTGTGTGGGAAGGAGCAGGGCTGGGGCAGCCCCGGGGCTGCCTGAAGCTGGTCAGCATGGCCGTTTCCCCAGCCAGAGGGGAGCGGTCCCTACTGCAGAAACTCCCCAAACTGATGGTGGAGGCGAGACAAGCCCAGGTTAGAACGGAGCCAGAGCTGGGCTGCTGGATCTCAGGCGGAAGACAGACGTCTGAGCCGGGCTTGAAAGAGGCCAAAAGAGACTTGGGTTGGCCAGAAGAATCACACGAAGCCATTGTAGGAGCAGCTGCAGAAGTGTGGGGACGGGAGAGCTCGTCCACACAGGCCGCGCTGGGAGCTGGCAGGACAGCGGGGAGGTCAATCTGAGGGTTTGTGTCTGAGTCCACCTCTGCCGAGGGCCTCCATTGGAGCCCTGCGAGGGGGCCTTGAGAGAGGCAGCTGGTTGAGGCTGCAGGCCTGTGGTGAGGTGCGGCCCTGGGCACATTCCCCTGTTTGTCACACACACACTGGCAGAGTTGGTGTGTTCTGGAAGCGGGCAGGTGCAGGAGAGGAGCCTCAGTGGGACCTCAGATGAGCCGTCCACTCATCCTTCTTTCCTTTCCCCAGGCCACTTGACGATGGCGGACGGGACTCGAAGGCCCTGGTGGAGTTGAATGGGGTCTCTCTGCTACCCAAGGGCTCGCGGGACTGTGGCCTGCACAGCCAGGCCCCCAAAGTGCCACCCCAGGACCTGCCCCCCACCGCCACCTCCTCCTCCATGACTGGCTTTCTGTATAGCGCTGCCCTTCCCAACCACACCGTCCGAGAGCTCAAGCAGGAAGCGCCTGCCTGCCCACTGGCCCCTGGCGACCTGGGCCTAGGCCGTTCTGGACCGGAGCCCAAAGTCCCCAGTGCTCAAGACTTCCCCGACTGCTGTGGTAAATCTGCTGCTGGGACCTCAGGTCTGGGAGGTGGGACAGTCACACCTACGTGGACAGGTCAGGGGATAGGGACCTTCCTCAGGCTGGAAGGGGCCATGTCCAGGCATAGGAGTGGGGCCAGCAGATTCTTGCGTGCAGTAGGACCAGGCCATGGCTCAGCTTTCTAGGGCCCAGAGGTGACTCAGGGGACTCCTATAGAAGGATTAGATAAACTGGTCTGTCTGCATTTAATGAGTACCAACTGCATACCCAAACCCTCAACCATAGAGTTGATTCCAGTCTTTACAGGAGGGGACTGCTTAGCTTTCTTCTGGGAGGAGGTAGTAGTTTTGAACTGCTGACTTTTGGCTAGCAATTTGATGCGTTGTACGGTATGGCACCAGAGTGTTAACAACTGTATCTGGAGAAATGAGTCCTGGAAGCCCATGAGTAACAGTACTGAGCTTAAGAGAGACCTGGGTTGATGTTGACCCCTCTGTTCAGGAGCTGTGTGACCCGGGACAAAAGAGCTTCAGTTTCCTTGTCAAAAAAATAGGGATGTGAAGAGAAGCCGCCTCTTAGGAGTTTGTTGGGTTGACGAAGTGATTGGTGTCAGAAATGGTGTCTTCTCAGGTCCCACCCAGCCCTGCTGGACCTGAGGCCTGGCGGTGAGGCCCAGCGGCAGCTGTTTAACCAGCTGACCGAGTGGCTCTGCTGGACACTGAAGTTCAAGAACGAAAGCACTGATTCTGTTGCTTGGCACGTAAAACCAAGAGCACACCCACTGCCGTCGAGGCAGATCCACCCATAGTAACCTTGACCTTGTGGGGCAGAGGAGAATGGTCTGGACAGTTCTCGAGAACGCCCGTCTGGCCAGGCACGTTGCCACAGCTTTCTCCCATGAACTAGCTGGTGAATTAGAACTGCCCACTTTTGCTGGCAGCCAAATTCTTTAACCACTGCCCCACCAGGGCAGTTAGAAGGGACTTAATAGTTTATTTTTGTTGTTACTATTATTACAGGAAGAGAAAAGACAGCCCACCCCCACATAAACACCACTTTGTGAGTGACAGGGGACAGAGGCAGAAGTTAGACGCCTGAGACACGTGTGTCCCTGTAAACAGTGGCCGTGGCTTATCTGACACCTAAGTGACCGGGTCCCTGGTCAAGAAAGCGGTGCTGGGCTGCTATCTGGGAGTCCCTGATGGACAAGGCTCACTTTGGGGACTGCCTGGCAGGCAGGGCAGTTACTGTCCGCTCAGGCAGGATCTGGGGAACCCTCTCAGGGCCCACCTTGAACCTGTACCTTTCCTCTCATTGTCCAGGACAGAAGCCCCCCGGGACTGGTGGGCCTCTCATTCAGAACGTCCACGCCTCCAAGCGTATCCTCTTCTCCATCGTCCACGACAAGTCGGGTAGGACGGCACCCGGGCCGCAGGGTGGGCGGGGAGACGGAGGTGCGTGCGCTGGGCCTTTGAGGAGAAGGTGCAGCTGTGCTGGGGGTGTCGTGATACCTGTAACGGCGCAGCGCCTCACAGAGCCACCTGGCGTCACACGGCGAGCCTTTCCAGCCTCAGCTTCCGTGGCCAGGAATTCACGGCGGTTTAGCTGGCGGTTCTGGCTCAGAGTCGGCCGCGTGCTGTGGTGAAGGGTCACCTGGAGGCCTGACCGGGGCTGGTGTGTCCATACTCACTCAGGCTGTTGACCACGGGTCTCAGCGCCTCTCCACGTGGGCTGCCCTGGCGCTGCTGGAGTGTCCCCACACTCTGGCCACTGGTCCCCTCAAAGCTAGAGAGCCTAGAAGAGTAAGGAGGGAGTCACGTGCCTCCCGTGACCTAGTCTCATGTGCCTCTTCTACAATATTCTCCCCATTAGCAGCAAGACATGGCCCAGCCCGTGTTCCGGGGAGAGTTCATTAAACTCCAGTACTCGGAGAGAGGAATATTAAAAGATGTGGGTAGATACAGTTTTCAGTGAAAATCTACAAAGCAGATTGGTTTTTCATGCAACCATTTCTATTTTGTTTCATAGCATTAATTACAGTCCTTACAATGTCGTTCCAGCGTTCCCGCTTCCCCCTTGTCATTCTCATCTCCATTAACCCTCTCATCCCACTTCTTCTGCCTTCAGGGTTTTATCATTGGGCAAATGCTGCTCTTTGGTCCTTAACTGGCTCGGAGCAAGTGCTATTATAATAGTTCCCCTTCTAGGCCTATGTGTTAGGATGTGGACATACTTCAAACTACCGCACGCCCAGAAAGCAGAAAACTCGCAGAGTGTCAGTAATAGCTAAACGGGATGACGCTAGGCTTTCAAGATGCTGGCAGTTTTGCCTCGTGGCAATTTCAGCCTCACCTCGATGGGAGAACCTTTAAGAAAAGCGGGCAGTCTACCCTGTCGCCTCTGCCCTCTACCCATCAGAATGGGAACCACGTCATTCTAGACCACGTCCTGCTCTGAGGAGAGAGGGCATGGCTGTCAGATAGGCTACAGCTGGGGCTGAGTGTTGCTGGGCAACCTCAGGCAAGACACTCAGCCGAAAACCCAAAATCTCTGTAAATGTTCATTAAAACTAATAAAATTTAATAATAATAATAAAAAAAAGACACTCAGCCTTTGAACCTCAGCCTTCCCATCTGTAAAATGGGAGTGATAACTTAAAAGTTCTTGTCGAGATTACACAGGATACTCGATAGGACAGTGTCCATAAAGTACTTAGCACTTACTGGATGGACTAAAAGTGTTGTTTTAGTGAAATCTAACGAGCCCCATTTTTGCTGTTACTAATAAGAAATTGAGGCAGAGGCTTTTGTTTCATGGGTGAGGCCCGGAGGGCTGAGGCTGGCTGAGACCCAGGGTCTCTGATGGGGTGATGGGTGAAGTCTTGGAGGTTCTGACTCAGCCCCTCCTTACCTGGGGAGACCACTTCACCCACCTTCTACCTGTTAGGTGTCAGGTGGGTCCAGGGTGGATAGGCTGAGCCTGCACAGTGTCCAGTGCCCAAGGAGAGGGCAGGGGGTCCCCAGGGCATCTTAGGAGGCAACAGCCAGGGAGACCCTCGAGTGTGGAGGGTTGGGAACCAGCGTAGCTGCTGGTGAGAAGGTCGAGGGCGTCTGGGGGCTCTGAAGAGGAGAGCCTGGTAGCCAGGCCAGAGAACAGAGGGCATGAGTTAGTCCTGGGCTGTGGCCTGACTGTGAGAACCCACAGGACAGCTAGGCTCCTCCCGAAGCAGTGGGGTGGGGGGCCCCTGCCCAGCCCCTCACTTGGACCTCCTGTGTTCTGATAGAGAAGTGGGACGCCTTCATCAAAGAGACGGAGGACATCAACACGCTCCGGGAGTGTGTGCAGATCCTGTTTAACAGCAGATATGGTGAGTGGGCGGCGGCCTCGGTGGGGCCGGCAGCCGCGGAGCCGCTCGGTGCGCGGCCGGCACTCGTGTTCCCCCACAGGCGGCAGGAGCCATATGGTGCGCCCGCGCCCGGCAGCTCGCTTGTCACCTGGCGCTCCTGTCTGGAAGGAGGAGGCTGTGTCAATATTTCCCTTCCAGATCCTTCCAGGGCAGGCTCCCCGTGGGAGGTGGGGCCTGGGGGGGGTGGGCAGTCACCGTCCAGAGGGCAGACTTGGGTGCTGTTACCTGAAGTCAGCGTCCGGCCCTGAGCGATGCCTCCCCTGCACACTCCGCGTGTCTGGGCTGGGCCGACCCTGGCCTGCTTGGGGCTCACTGGCCAGGCGGCCTCCCTCACCTTCTTGTCCTCAGTGTTGGTTTCTCTGATCTCTAATGCTTCAGCACGTCATGCCAGTCTGGACCACACACGGGTGGTGACTGGCAGATGTGGGCTTCCTGGCAGTGGGGATTGTACCTGCTGGCTGGCTAAAAGGTCCCAGGCCAGACTATCCAGCCTTAGGCCTACCTCGCCCGGGGCCTGGGCCCTGGAGCTCCACCTGGGTTTCCAGCCTCCTGTGGAGCTCTGTCTGTGAGCCCCACTCGGCTGGTGCTTTGTGACCCTTGTCTGGGGGTGGCCCTCGCTGGTCACCCTACCTCCTTGACCTCAGTACCCTCACCTCCCCACTGCCTGACCTTAGCACCCTCCCCTCTCAGTGGCCTCAGCGCCTTCTCTTTTTCTCCTTCCTGATTTCAGCATCCTTACCTCCCCTCCCCGTCCCATGACCTCAGCGCCCTCCCTTCCCCTCCCCCTGTAACCTCAGCGCCCCCCATGACCTCAGTGCCCTCTCCTGACCTTGACATTTCCATCTCCCTCCCTCTTCCTTCTCTCTCCTCTTTCCCTTGTCTCAGTTTCACTCATTCCTCCCTTGCTCTCTTCTCACACGTTCTCTGATTCACTCACCTCACCTCCGTTCCCTGGTCCACACACTGCAGTGGGGTGACTTAGGGAGCACTGGCCTCAGGGTGTGTTTCACCCAGCGGGTGTGTTGGCAGCACCCTGGAGTGTGCAGCCCTGGGCCTCAGGAAGGAGAGGGTACCCCAGCGGGACCAGGCACCCTCCCACTGGGGAAGCAGGGCTGGCTTCACGGAGGAGGTGTCTTTGCCCGGCACATGACCCAGCAAGCACAGGCTTACGGCTGTCTGTCACGAACAGTTTCGCACGAGTTTGACCACATCAGACAGAGATCCGTATTTGTGAGTGAGGCTGTGCTCTGCCTGCTTCTGGACACGCCATCTCTAAGGGGCTGTGAATTTGGAAGGCAGCCTTCATGGTGACGGGAGGTACGGTGGGCTTGGGAGAGACCAGCGCAGCTGGAAGCAGAGTGTGAGACGGTGAGAGTGCGGCAGATGTACTGCACATTCACGCATTAGTACACAAGCACAAATAAGTGCACGCTGACTGCCTCCTGTGCACTCTGTTCCTGTCCTGGATGAATTTGGAGAAGAGACTTGGCCTCTGGAGGCAGGCTCTCTGGGCTTGGGAGAGAGACAGAAGCCCGCCAAACCTGGAAGCAGAATCTTTGATGTGGTGCAAAGACGTGAATCTGTTCATGACAGACTCGTAGGTAAGCACGCAGAGGCTGGTGCTTACCTTACCTCCTGGGGAACCTAGCATTGCCTTTTGATCTGGGCCAGAGCCCAGGAGGCCTGGGCAGGTGGGCAAGGAGGCTTGGGCAGCTTGATTTGACCTCCCTGTTAGGGCAGGGCTGAGGGAGGTTCTGAATCCTTAGCTGGGGAGCCTGGGGGCCTTTGATGTGGCCGGCTTTGATGTGGCCCTGCCCCTTCTGCAGCCCAGCTTCTCCCACCCCACCCCGCCCCGCCTTGGCCGGCACAGGTGTGAACCAGATGACTGGGGGGCTGGGAGGAGCAGGCTCTGAGGCCTTGGCAAGGGCTCTGCCCCGAGGAGTTGGCACACTGCTCAGCTTTGGGCGCAGACCTAGGCAGCTGCCTACCTTCTGACCTATTACATGCCTTGAACAGTTCCCAGAGTGCTGGACTGTGTCCAGATGTCAGCAGTTGGGCTCCCCCAGCCCCAGATGAGGGAGGAGTTTGGGGCTTGAAGTGCGTAAAAGGAGCCCCAGTGAGGAGGATGTCCTCAACCCCCTGGAAATCCCGGGTGGGGACCGGACCAGCGCAAGTGACAGAGGCCCCCAGCCTGCTCCTGGCTCCATCCTCTCAGCTGCCACCTCTGGATGAAGACCAGCAGTGGGCTGGGGATGCAGAGGAGAGGCAAAAGAGGAAGAAATGGGAGGAGGAGACTCAGACGTCGTTACCCAGAGAGATGTTTCTGGCAGATGAGGGACAGCGACTCCACTAGGGCAACCCCTGCCCTTGTCCTCGCGCCTCCACTGGCAGGGCCCGGGGCGCAGGGCCACACTCCCGTCTCCTGTCCCCACTGCTGCAGAGATGGCCTGGTACGGCTGACAAGCCTGGTGGAGACCGAGCCAGACCCAGCCCATCGCTCCGTTGCTGGGGGTGGCGATGCTGGAGGGAGAAATGGTTTGACAGCTGTGAGATTTCGAGGGTTTAATTTGACAACGAGCTAAGTGTGACTTCACAGTGAGGTTTGAGTGCCAAAGACACCAACGCAGAACCAGGCGGTATCAACAGAAACCGTGTTCGTGGCACCCAGGGTGGAGCCAGGCAGCGCCAGCCAGCCCCGGGCAGGTGTGACAGCGTCCAGTTCTAACTCAGCTCTTGCAGGAGCACAGGCAGAGTGGCCAGAATAGCAGCGTCAGCGTGGAGTGGGCCTGAGGAATGGTGGAGGTGCTGTGAAACTCCTGCTCACGTCACCTGGAGAGGTGCCAGCTAGGTGGATACCGGCCTACCCCTCCACTACTCAGACTGTCCAGACCGTGGGGAGGACGGACACCCATCCAAGTCCCCTCTGGTCTCACACAGCCCTCGGCACACAGTGGGTTCCGTTCCTCAGGCCATCCAGTCTATGGGGAGGACAGACACCCATCCAAATCCCATCTGATCTCACACTGCCCTCGGCACACGGTGGGTTCTCTTCCTCGGACCATTCAGTCTGTGGGGAGGACGGACACCCATCCAAATCCCATCTGATCTCACACAGCCCTCGGCACACGGTGGGTGATCACCATGCATTTGCTGAGTAGGTGGATGGAAACACGGAAGCAGGGAGCAGGTGAAGGTGGCAGAATGATACAGTCTGACTGTCAGCGTGTGGCATTGTGGCCGCTTGGGCTGCGGCTGTGTCACATACCCCAGGGACAGCCCAGCTGGACAGACGAGGAAGAGCGGCCAGAGGGCCTGTTTCCAAGATCCGCAGATGGAAACTGTGAAGCACAGAGAACACTGACTTGCTTGCTTTGGGCATCAGGAGGGATTGTTCTGTGGAGACGGACATCGCATGTGGTCAACCAGAGGGCAGCGGAGGCAATGGGCACCCTTGGTGAAATGGACTGGCCTTTGAAGATGACCCAGGCCCAAGGGTGTGATTGTTTCATCCAGAAGTCTCCGTGAGGTGGCGTCAGCACAACAGCAGCTGATGATGTGGAAGAAAAGAGCGACACCAGTTTGTGGCCCGGTTGCTGTCCGCACGGCGGGAGGACGAGGCCCCCGGGTTGGGACATTTCGCTTCCTGTCACTCAGAGTCCGCCCCCCCCCCCCCCAAGAGCAACCAGAACCTGCGAGCTGCTTCAGCCAGTCAGTGACTACTTTTAGATTATCACATTGGACATTTGTAACATTTTATTACGTTTTTCAAACCTGCAAATAACCCCTTCAAAGTCCTTTAAAGTGAAGACACCTTGAGATCAAAGATGTAGCTGACCCAGGCACCAAATTTTCCATGGCCTCATGTGTGTGTGAAAGCTAGGCAGCGACTAAGGAAGACTGAAGAACTGGTGCATTGAAAAACAACGGTGTTAGTGAAAACTGCTGAAAATGCCGTGGACCGGAAGAACGAACATGACTCTTGGAGGAAGTCCAGGCACAGTGGTCTTTGGAAGTGATGGTGGGTGTCTGGAGAAGGACATCATGCCGGGGAAAGCGGAGGAAACCCTCAGTGAGAACGAGTCACACCTTCGCCGCAACAGTGGGCACAGACAGCAAAAACTACGACAGTGGCCCAGGACTGGGCAGTGCTCTGTTGTTTGTTGTTTTAAACAGCACCATCCGAGCGTTATGTGCCAGACCTGTTCTAAGATCCCAGCGAGATGGAGCTCACGTCCCCCACACGTGTATATAACGTTAGCTGCCATCACATTGTTTCCACAATGGAATGAAACCCTGCTGGTCTTGTACCGTCATGTAATTCGCTGCAGTGACCTCCCAGAACGCACAGGCAGTGGTGGGTTTTCCTAGAGAAATAATGGGTTACAGTCAGATTTGGGATAAAGCTTTCTTCTGACGGAGGCACTCACAGACCGGCCTCTCTCTGACCCTTGGCTTTGTGGCCCTGGCCTCTGCCCTGTTCAGACGTGTGTTACATGGACCCCCTAGCTCTTCCAGCTGTGTGCCTCCCTCACTGTTCCCGGGAGCCTCAACCCAGAGGTGCTTCATGAGCTGGCAGACCTGGCTCCCCGGCAGGTGTCCAAAGGCGTCCACTTGACCCCTAGGTCCTCAGCTTACTGGGCTGGGAGCCCACAGCCCTGGCTCACGCCAGGCTCTGGTTCTGTCGTCTCGGGTTTTCTCCTTCGTCCCTTTGTCTCTAGTTCATGCAGGAATCTTCTATCTAGAAGCCACACTTCCCTCTCTGGTTCCTCTTTCTGGACGGTAGTGGGATTCTCTTTTCACACCCGAGGCTGCTCAGTTAGGACCAGTTACCCAGTCCCCTTGGGGAGCCGCAGACACCTCCCGTTTGCATGTTCCTGCTCCGCCATGTGATGAGGGGGACAGTGGCTGGAAAAGCCACCTGAAAGCCACTGTCGCTGCCGGGGAGCTTTGCTCCCGGCAGCCCCGCCGGGGGGACGGCAGATTCACCGGCTACAGCGTTTGCAGAGCCTGTGGGCTTCGCGTCTTTTCAGAAGCAGACTGCTTCATCTTTCTTACAAGGGGCTGCGGGTGTATTTGAACCATCGACTTGCACTTGGCCACTGAGCCCTCTGGCCCCGTGTCCTCATGTGTGCAATGCGTTGTGGTCAAAATCTGCTAGGAAATAAAGCAGGGCAAGGGGTAGTCCCACTGGCTGGCCTGTGGATCCAGCAGCCGTCTGCAGGCATCTTTTCAGGGAGAAGTGTGCACAGCATCCCCCTGTGCCTGGAGTGGTGTTGGGGAGGCCAGGCAGCAGGACTGGGTCACGACCACACCCCGGGTTCCTGGGTCTCCCGCCGCCACCTTGCCCTCAGCCTTGCCGTTACCCTTCCAGCGGAAGCCCTGGGCCTGGACCACATGGTCCCCGTCCCCTACAGGAAGATCGCCTGCGACCCAGAGGCCGTGGAGATCGTGGGCATCCCCGACAAGATCCCCTTCAAGCGGCCCTGCACGTACGGGGTGCCCAAGCTGAAGCGGATCCTGGAGGAGCGACACAGCATCCACTTCATCATCAAGAGGTGCGGGGTGTGGGTCGGGCTGGGGCGCGGAGAAGAGGCCGCTGATGGGGGGCTCGGAGGTTCTGTGACTGACCGCCTGTGGCTCCCCGACTCAGCCGCTGAGGGCCTCTTCCTCACGGGCTCCTTTGGGGACGAGTGGGGACAGGAAGGCACAGTGTCTGACCCGAGATGACTCCTGGAAAGGTCGAACTAAAGATTATTTTCTGCCCGTTAAGGAAAACATCAAGTGTTGGAGCCCACTGCCAGCAGCGGGGTACCTCTGAGTGGGTGGTTTAGCCCACTGTTTCTCCTCCAGGCTGCCGTTTCCCACCAGTGCTGTGGGGATGGGAAGGACAGAGTTTGGTGGCCCCAAAGCTGCCGCACCTGCCCCTCCCCAGCCTGGTCCCAGCTCACCGGGAGGTCTGCCTCACATCTGCCACAGAGCATATGCCAGCACCTCCAGGCAAAGCCCAGACTTCTGGCTTGCCTCTACCGTGGGGTGCAGGGCCACCTGGAGGCCATGACGTCCGGCCCTCTGGCTCTGGGCAGAGCAACATTGGCCACACCCTGGGTGTCTGTCCCCTGAGCTCTGAGAGTGTGCTCGCAGCCACACAGCACCTACAGGCCCTTACTGGTCATTGCTGCACGCTGTGGGCAGAGGCCGAGGCAGGTGCTGTGTGCATTTCAGAACCCTCAGCACCTAGGCTCACCCCTGGTATGTTGGCGGGGCCATCGAGTTGGTTCTGACCTGGAGCACTTGTGTCCAGTGAAGGAGATGCGCCCTGGCCCTGTGCTGTCCTCACAGCCCCTGCTCCCCTCGAGCCCCGCTTTGTGTGGGTCTTCCTCTTACTTGTTGACCCTCTGCTCTGTGAAGCATGACTTTCTTCTCCAGGGACGGGTCCCCTGGTAACACGGTCAAAGTATAGGACACAGTTTTTCTCTCAGCCAGCAGAGTGTCAGCAGGTTTAGTTATTATCAGAAAGAATTCCACCCCCAGCAGCTTCTTCCCCTCCAGACCCTCACCTGCTTGTCCCCAGTGTGACGGCTTTGGAACTGTCTACCTGGCTTTCAGCAGCTTGCTTCTCAGAAGTAGGTCACCCGACCTCTGGGCAGACATGAATCTCCCCCCAGTCTTCTGGTTACTAGTCATGGGGCTCCCACCTGCCTGGGACTCCAAAGGGGAGACTCTTAGCCACAGTGGAGGTGAACCGGAAGTGGGAAGGAGCCTGTGCCAGGCAGATGGAAAGGCTTCACCTGGAGACAGGTGAGATGGATTTGACCACTGAGCCACCACTGCTGGTGGGGGCAGGGGGAGAAGAAGGCAGCAGGGGCCCCCTGCCCTTTTCTGTGCCTGATAGTGGAGTTTCAGGGATCCTGTTCTCCGTGGTCCTCCAACCAGACTACAGCCTGTTTCATTTTTCATTGGGGTTTGCCGGGGGCTTCCTGCATCCCTCACTGGACCTCACTGGCTGGCTTTATGCCCCATCCACATCTGCCCCAGAGGTCACTGTCCATCACGGGGGTGGGCTGCCCGTGTGAGGAGTCAGGGGCTCCGTGGTACCTGGGCAGCAAAGCTCCCACAGGACTTCTGGAGGAGAGGGTGTGCTCACCTTTCAGTTAGCAGTTTGCATCCTCCAGGGACAGTAACCTTGTGCAAACAGCTTTTCGCCTGAGCTTGTTTCTTTATCCATAAAAATGTCAACAGTGCTAGTGACTTCCCAGGTTTTTTCCCGGATGAGGAGTGGATGAGGCAGGTGATGTGTGGTAGGTGGGTCTGGTCAGCACGAGTCCTTTTGTTTGTTGTAGGAGTAGTTAGGAGCGTCAGCTCTGACATCCTGGGTTCAGGTTCTGACCCTAGCAGTCCCCGCGGATCCCTCCACCAAGTTGCTGCGTTATTGCCTGCCTCACTTTGCCCATCTGTAAAATGGGGTTAATAGTTGTCACGGGGAGCTCCGGTGGCCTTGTGGTAAGAGGCTGTGCCGCAGTCTTGAAGGCACATGGTTTGAATGGACCGGCTGTTCCAGGGGCGGATGGACAGTCTCCTCCCATGTGACTTACTGCCTCTGAAAACCCGCTGGAGAGTCAGCTGTGAGTCACTTCTGACTTGATGACACGGCAGTTGTTGTCATGTGAGGCAGGGACTTTGATAGGAGGCCAAAAGGGCTTAATCTAGGGGATGTGCTTAGACCAGTGCCTCGGCTGTTCTGAGCCCTTACTGTTTTCACATGACACACCCCAGCCTTGTCCTTGGACGCCTTGCTTCTTCCTAGGGGGTGGGGTGCTTACTAGCCCCTTGGGACGTCAGGAGAAAAGAGGGTGTAAGAAGCATCCAAGAGGTTGCACCTCTGTTCTGGCCCATGTGTCCCCAGGTTGTGGGACCAGGGAAAGTCAGGTGCCCACCTGTTCAGCAGAAACCCCTCCACAGTCAACACAGGTCTAATCATTCCTGGGTAGTATGGCATTCTCTGACCCCAACTCCAGCTGACCTTTGGCTCCCAGATGCTGAGGCCACGCCCAGAGCAAGAGGATCTGAGGAACAGGCACTGTGGTTCAAGGTCAGGAAGAGAGGATGAGGAGGGAGTATCTGAAGGGGATCCCAAGCTCCTGGTGGCGGGACCCCTCACACCGTGTAGCCTGGTAACCTCTGAGTGCGTCGGCCACGGTCTTGAGGTCACTGCAGACTTTCCCTGCCACCCTCCCCCATCTCTTGAGGATCCTGGAAGCCCCTGTCTGATCCAGCATAGTCCCCCCCTTGCTCCCTGATAAATGATGACCCCGTAAGTAAGGAAAGGCCCTCGCTGCTGCCCAGCCACCACCTTAGCCCCTTTACTCCCTGCAGCGGCCTTCTTGGCCTCGTGGGACCCAGAGGTCTCTGGAACTCAAGGAGCACCAGGGGAACCCTTGATGGGGGCGCATCTGTCCGATTAGGACGGAATCTCCCTCAGCACCGTCACGAGCCCCTGCCCAGCCCCCCCCCCCATTTCCTGGAGGGCAGTTCGCGGGGGGCCTTGTCAGGCCTCTTTGTGTGTGAACTCAAGCACCTCTTCATCCTCCCGAGTCTCACCACTCGTGCCTGAGTTGGGCGGCCAAGGCCCTGTCCTTTGTCCGGCCACCCAGACATGCAGGTTGTGTTCAGAGCCACCTAAACCACCTGTCCTGTCCAAGCTTGTCCAGACCTCCAGGTGTCACGCTAGGGGGTGGGAATGAGGCAGGAAGAAGCCTCACCGCTTACCCCTCTGACCTTTGCTCCGTTCTCGCTTTCTTGGCCTGTATGTCTCGGTGTCTTGCTGGAAGACGCGGGAGCTCCCGCCTGACACCTGGGCCCTGGCCTCCCCACTTCCAGGGGCTCCCTAAGCAAAGCCTGCAGGGCTGACACCGCACCCACCTCCCCAGTCCCGCACCTTCACGTCTCTGTCTGGACAGCTTCTGAGTGGTCCCTCCTCAGCTTGCGTGCCTCCCTCCTCACCGTGAGGGCTCCCCCTGCTCCCTCCCCCAGGACCCCTCTGGCTTGGAGACCGTCCCTAGTCAGCACAGATGGCTGTGAACTCTGCGAGGTCTGCCTCGTGCAAACACAGAGCTGCTGGGGAACAGGGACTGCCCTGTCACCAAGCAGGGCACACGTGACAGTGGACGCCAGGGATGAATGAATGGGTCATTACAGCAGCGCCTGGTGGGAGCAAGGGGTGCTGGACTGGAAGAGACCCTGGGCTCAGGGTGCCCAGCTGAGTGACTGTCACTGAAGGACCTGGAGTCCGTGTCCCCTGAGCCCTGTGGTCAGGCCTGCAGGTTCTCACAGCTGCCTCTCCTCTCTCCCCAGGATGTTTGACGAGCGAATTTTCACAGGTATGTGTGTGCAGTCCTCTGTTCAGTCCTCTGGCCCTGAGAACACTGAGCGTCCACCTTCAGGCCCTCCCCGGGAGGTGTGGTGGGAGGGAAGGTGATAATGACAGGAGCTTCACACAGAGGCCTCTGAAGGCAGGGGATACAGAGAGCCTGTGTCCTGACCCCTCCCCGTCTCCCCACTCAGGGAACAAATTTACCAAAGACCCCACGAAGCTAGAGCCAGCCAGCTCACCTGAGGACATCTCCGTGGAGACTCCCCGTGCTGTTGTCCTCGACCTGGCCACATCCGCTCGGTAGGGACTCGCCCCTGCCCCTGCTGAGCTGAGCCTCTGCCAGACCTCGGGCCAGCCAGGGCCCCCTACACCCCGAACCTCAGGGCCCCGTGCACAGACCCTTGTAAGCACACAGGCCTGCACCCCACACCAGGCAGCCGGCCCCACAGGTGTGAACCCAGAGGGAGGAGAGGTGCGGAGAGGCACTGCCTCGCTTCTGCTGAGCTCACTGTCCCGTTCAGGGTCCCACTGGATCCCACATTGAGGCCTTTGCTGATCTCGGCACTAGGTCAGCCTCCTGCCTGGGTGCCCAGGGGACCTGCACTCAGCATGTGACCTGGTTACCATCCACTTGTGCCCTTCCATGCTAAGCTACTGGGGGGGATCAGGGATGGGCCATGCCCCCAGGGCCCCCCCGCCCAGCCCTGGCTTCCCCGGCAGCGTTCACAGCTATCCTCGGGTTCATCCCCACTTGGCACCCCCACTTTTGTTAGAGCATCTCTGTGCTGCGTATGGTTCTCAGGGCTCATCATTTGGAAGTGGGTCACCAGGCCTTTCTTCCAGTGCACCTCAGAGAGGGCGCAGACCCCAGCCTTCCAATTAGCAGCCACGCGCAGTAACTGCACTGCTCGGGGTATCCTGAGGTGGGGGCCCCTGGCCCGGGGTGCTGCTCGCCCTCACCAGCCTCTCTGCCCAGGCATCCCTGCCCCCTTCCAGGCTGGTGGCCACTAAACTGGCCCTCTAGCAAAAACGGAGCACATCACTGTGCGGAGCCCTGTGCGGCCAGACCCAGGCTGCCCACAGGGACCTCTGGTTGGTGGAGAACGTGGATGTGCAGATAATTAAACCTGGACAGGGGGCAGGAGTTTGTCCTGGGACCAGGTGCTGTGGGTCTCACTTGAGGATCTTGTCCTGGGATGGGGTGCTGTGGGTCTCATTTGGGTAACTCAACCCAAGACAGGGTGCTGTGGGTCTCACATGGAACCTTGCCCTGAGAATGAGATGCTGTGAGTCTCACTGAGGGACCTTGTCCTGGGACGGAGTGCTGTGGGTCTCAATCAGGGACCTTGTCCTGGGACAGGGTGCTGTGGGTCTCAATCAGGGACCTTGTCCTG